GTGTGTGTGTTTCTGCCTGAACGGCGATAAGTAGTTTACTACAGTTATGTAGAACTTCGTGTGTGTGTTTCTGCCTGAACGGCGATAAGTAGTTTACTACAGTTATGTAGAACTTCGTGTGTGTGTGTTTCTGTCTGTAGGACGATTAGTAACTTACAACAATTATGTATGGTGTGTGTATGTGGGCAATGAACACGTTGATATATATAATTGCACACTTTGGCTCCGAAATTCATTTATCGTCTCCTCGGAGCCAAATCCGTTGTACAAGGTAGCGCTGCTTCGTGGAAGATATAGTAGTCGGAAGAAGTTTGACATTAAAGAACAGAACACATTTAATCACCACTGTGCAGACTTTAGAAAGAAATGTGGTTCCAAGAAATTGATTGCACTTAAATAAAGCCTATTATTCAACGTGTTATTATTCTCTGTCGTGTATCTTAAAATCTTCCAGCTTATAACGAACATTTTCGTAAATCGTGTTTGCTCATAGACTGGATACGGTTACTGATAAGAGTGTTTAATGCGATTGTATTCGCGTCGCATTAGACACGAACTTATAGTTCCTGCTTCTACTAGAAGTGTTCCTGATTTATATTCATGTGATATATTTACCTTTGGATTAAAGGCTCAAAAACCGCATAACAATACTGTCCGTGCTTCCTGGTGAGAAAAAAAAACAACCATCTACCAACACGCACAAAACTGTTCAAGATTCTGTTTCGTTTAATCACGATGGATGCGAAAAAATGTGTATTGATGAGACAGCATGTGCCCGTATTACAAAGCAGTTAAAATTATGCACCGCTTATTTACATACATGTATTCAATAACTTCGCTGGTAACTAACGGGGTTTTGAATAGATTTAATGCAAGATTGAAGCACCAGGTGGATAGATCTTATGCAAAACTTCAATATTCGAGCTCAATAAAAATAAGAGAAAAAAAGCGTAGATGATTCTTGCCACAGTTTTTCTAACAAATTAATCCGATTTTAAATAAATAATGAAACCCAGCTATCCCGGTAGGATGTTTTAAAAAGATTATTTCAACTAGCGACAGCAATGAAAACTTGTAGATCAGAAAGAAATAAATCCTTGAAATATGCAGAAGACGGCCAGTTAATAAATCATTGAAATGTGTAGTAGACAGCCAGTTAATAAATTGAAATGTGTAGTAGACAGCCAGTTAATAAATTGAAATGTGTAGTAGACAGCCAGTTATTAAATTGAATGTGCAGTAGACAGCCAGTTATTAAATCATTGAAATGTGTAGTAGACAGCCAGTTAATAAATTGAAATGTGTAGTAGACAGCCAGTTAATAAATTGAAATGTGTAGTAGACAGCCAGTTAATAAATTGAAATGTGTAATACACAGCCAGTTAATAAATTAAAATGTGTACTAGACAGCTAGTTATTAAATTGAAATATGTAGTAGACAGCCAGTTATTCAATTGAATGTGCAGTAGACAGCCAGTTATTAAATCACTGAAATGTACAATAAGAAAGCACTGAAACACAGCTAAGAAATTAAAAATAATGTTACTTGAGAGAGAGAGAGAGACCTTATAATCGAATACATTGATACCAAAAAAAAGTTTAAAGACTTTAAAAGGTTAGACGTGGTTGATTTTTTTAAGTTTCGACAGTGATAGCATCGATACCGAAGCTAATGTAAACAGCACGTTTCACTTCTAAGAATTAATATTTTATGGCAGGTTTCCTATATTTTGGTAGTGGAAATATAGTTAGCAATTAATGTAGCGAGTTTTGTTATAAGAATTTACAAAATTGTCTTGAGTGCTATTCTCTAATTCGAAATAACCATATTCTAATATTCATTTTGCTAGGGAGTTCCTGTTTAATTGTGTTATTAAAATATTTTTCAAAATAAGTATTTGACAGTTATAATTGTCCAATATTATTTGCAAAACAAAAATATTTATTTTCCTAGCAACAACAAAGAATTGAATCATTCTTTTGGCTTCTTCTTTACATAAGGTGCTGCTGGTTTTCGACAAGGAGGATGCACAATTTAAGTCTTTAAAATGGGCAGTAGAAAAACTCCAATTTGAATGTGTTGTAGCATCCAGCGACACCCAAGCTCTGGATCTTGTCCGTAATAATCATTACCATCTCATTATTGTAGACACACGACATTCTTCTGGATTCGATCCCTTTGTTCTTTCCAGGTAAAGAGCGAATATTTTTCTCTTTTTTTTGTTCTTTTCACATTTCTATATCATCTGTAATCATGCATACAAAATTTTAATAAACATGTACGATTTGAAATACCTGTGCAAAATTACTACTAAATTTTACAATTTTCTCTCATAATTTTAATAATAGTTGATAAATATTTTATTCGATATGACTTTGTTAAGTTTTACTTTCGGACAGAAAATTTTTGTTCAATCTAAAAATATCCTTGTGCCTTTACATTAAATAACTGTCTTATTATTATCGTTTTCGTTTTTCGATAATGATGAAGATGGCCTGAAATACTTCTGTTTCCTAGTTATCTGTACTAACTCGTTTGGTAGTGACTCAGTTTGTGCTGAGAGATATTTCACGCCAATTCTGAGGGGGAAAAATTAAGCCTTTTTTGGGCCAGAAGATTCGTTTAAACATCAAAATAAGACTTCTACCATTTATTGAACACGAGTTTCTTAACTGATCGATAAGTAGTATTCAGTTACTCTATTTGACGTGGGCCACTGTAAATGTCCTGTAAGTTTAAGATAGCGTATCAGGCTTTTGCTGAAACACTTTTTAAAATAATTATGTAAATTATTATATTTTAAGTGAATAATGTTTAGTTTGGCTTAAAGTTAACACTTTATAGTGTACAACGTTGGGAATGACTAAGGCTAAAGTTTTCCTGTGTATAACGTTGAGAATATCTTAGGGCTAACGTTTTAAAATATTTTGCGTTTAGAATGGCTTAAGACTAACGTTTTACTGTGTTTAACTTTAAAATGGCTTAAACCTAATGTTGAAAATAGTCTAGGGTTAACGTTTTACCATGTATAACTTTGAAATTGCTTTGGACTAACGTTTTACTGTGTTTAACGTTGAGAATGGTTTAAGGTTAACGTTTTACAATGTATGCGTTTAGAATGGCTTAGAACTAACATTTTACAGTGTTTAATGTTTAGAATGACTTAGGACTAATGTTAAAAATGGTTTAGGGTTAACACTTTACCATGTATAACTTTGAAATTGCTTTGGACTAACGTTTTACAATAATTAGCGTTGATAATGGCTTAAGACTAACGTTTTACGGTGTTTAATGTTGAGAATGGCTTACGGTTAACCCTTTACAGTGTATAACGTTGAGCTAGAAAGTATGAAAGAACACTGTATTTACTATCTATATATTTTTGTTTAACGGCCGAATGCGAGTTTCCAGTAGTTAGTCAAGTTCAAGTTGAAGTATTAAATATGTATTCTATTAAATTTTGTCAAGCGTTCTAAACTAAACAGACTCACTTACCAAAGCTCAGCTGTTTGTATTATACTATGCTAATATGTTTAACGGTGATTGATTCGAACAGTATGAAGTCCACTTTAATCAGTTTTTTTTTCTACTTAGCTATAACAATGTTTGTACAACGTAAAGCTTGTTTATTTACCACTAGGTGTAGCGATAACAGCTTATTTCGAACACTAAGTTTAGTTCTTTATTGTAACAATCCCAAGAACTTGATTTGTTACCTCCAGTTCAAGTGTAGCAGTGTTTGGATTATACTTAGAAAGTTGGTCTGCTATTTTGTCTGACATACGATGTGCTAAAGCCACCAGAAATGATTGTTCTTTTGAAATATTTCCCACGGTCTGTACTTAATAAAATTCGACTCTTTCTGATCAGTTTCAGCTATGTTTCAAGGTACAGCAGTAAAAAACAACAACAAATTGAATTGTCTGTTGTTTATCATTAATAGTGGAATCTTATGTATATGTAAATAGGTTCCTTTAAATACAGTGTGTGAGTTATGTTTTGTAAGCTTTAATTGTAAACTTGAGGGCCTATAACGCTAAAACTAAGGGTTCAATACCCATGGTAGACACAGCGTATATAGCCCATTTTACAGCTTTGTGCCATAAGAATCTGTTTTATCTTAATGACACACGATTAAGTAACTTATCTATTTTTAATTGTCCCTTCTCACCGAATCTTCCTACCATTCGCATTGCAACTTCAATTTCCCCATCATTCATATGTATGATACAATTTCTATATTAATAAATAACTTTGTATTAAAAGAACATATTCACAATTTTTACAAATGGGCCAGACGTGGCTTAGACGTTAGCGAGCTCGGACTGTAAATCCGAGAGTTTATGGTTCGTATTTACTTGCTGCAAAACGCATTTCGCATTTTGGGCACGTCAGTGGCTATAAGAATGACAGTCAAATCCCACTATTCGGACATACAAGGGTAGAGCAGCCCAAGAGTTGGCGGTGGGAGCTGTTGAATAGCTGCCTTCCCCCTCATCTATAAGTTCAAAATTAGGAACGGCTATGCGCAGATAGGTAGCTTTGCGTAAAATTTCGCAAGAAACTATAACAAAATCTTTGAATTTTACGCTACTCTGCCAATTTGTCTGAATCAAATTATCCATACCTGAGGTTAGAAAATCAAAGATATGCATAATAGTATTAATAATATCTTGAATATAGATATAATTACATTATTGTGAATGATTTATAGAATTTAAATCTTGCTAGGCCCGGCATGGCCAGGTAGTTAAGGAGCTCGACTCGCAATCTGAGGGTTGCGGGTTCGAATCCCCGTCCCGCCAAACATGCTCGCCCTTTCAGCCGTGGGGGCGTTATAATGTGACGGTCAATCCCACTATTCGTTGGTAAAAGAGTAGCCCAG